AATCCAAATATGAATAAGAAAGTGGTTTTTGACACGTGACAAATTTGACAAAGGTGCGGGAGTCAGCCCCTTCCCCGACTTCTACACGGACATCGCAACCGTGGTCTGCAAGATCTTTGAAGCCCAAAACGGCATCCTGCATCTTGAAACAGGTGATCATGTCAAGTTACACTTGGCCCCTGCGAGCGAGAAACACAGAGGGTGGAATATGAGCTGCTGATGAAGAGACTGCGAGGGCCCCATCCCGGCTGACCGAGACACGTCGGTTCAATCGGACGTCTCCAGCTGCCGGTGTTCCTGCTTCCCCGGTTGGTCGGTTGAACCGATCAAGTGGGAAAACGCCGGTGTAACCGGCTAACCCGGGAAACCGCCACTTGAAGGCGGGAAACGAGAAACTAGCCAAGGAAGTGGCCATGCCAGTGGAAAATAATATATCCATAGAAAACATATATGGCGAGCTGTTTTTGAAGGCGCCATTGAGTTTTGAAATGACCGGCAAGGCGTGTGAGAGTTTTCTTCCTTTTTCGTCGTGCTTGCCCATCAGAAGCATGTCACCCTGGGGTCTCTAAAACACCGTGTATTTTCTAAGTACGGCTTCTGCAAAATCTTCCAGGTGTCGCTGACTTGCATCGTCGTTCTCAGAAAGTGGAACCAAGCGAGGAAGGGAAGGAACAGAGAAGAGGGTGAAGAGACGACGGGAAAATACGCAATACGTATGAAGTAAGGAGTTCGCATCGCGCGTCGAATTGTCGACAGCAGGCACCGCAGCGAAGAGGAGGCGTCAGCGTCCGATCCTATCATGGCAGTCTGTGCTGAAGGCGAAGGTGCCATTCATTACGCTACATCCAGGGCCACCGCCGGGCCACCGCCATGGCGAGCAAGAAGGACTCTGAGCGCAAGAACAATATAGAACTGTGATGGGGCATCTCCAAATGAATTGACAGCGCGACGCAAGGGGGCCAGGATTGGCAAAGACACAATGAACGAGGACATTGAAGAGCGTTCTGTTGCGCAATCTTTCATGTGACATTCGTGTTTCTAGTGTTTAAACCGTTGGAACATCGAGTAAGCCTACGTAGCAGCAGCGTTACGGTGGCACAACACCAGAAGAGTGTACATGAAGCCTTTCATGGGCCCCGTTCGCCAGGGCAACGGCGATTTGACGGACGCCACAAAGGCAAAGGACTACGACTCTTACGACTACTGTACTCACTACTACGACTACTATGGTTTTCCAGTTGGCCGGTTGTTGGTTCACGGTTGGCCAGTTCAACTGGCGGCTTCCCGGTTGGCCGGCTCAACTGTGGTAACAGGTGTTTGCCCACAACGGGCATACCTGCGCGTAGCTCTCCTGCAAGGACTATCCAAGAACTACCATTAAGAGTGAAGCAAAGCGGTACGAAGACCCGAACAGCGAACGAAAGACAGGTAGTTGACACCAGCCAACCATCAAACCTCTGTGCGATTCACCCGTTCGATTCCGGGTTCTCGGTGGTTCACCCGATCCCCCGGTGACTTGCGCCCTGAGGTGCAGGCTTCGCTTCGGTGGGTGGCTTGGACGGTGGCATGATCACACCAGTCCCCGGATGTGCCCAGGTGGTCCTTGGACGGTGGCATGAGCACCAGGACTGAGCACCAGATTGTTTGATGAATCAAAGCCCTACCAAATCCTACAATCAATAATCAACAAGCCATTCGTCAACGGAGCACCAAATCCTACAAGAATGGCTTTACATCTGCATCATTATGGTGGTTGATTCATCGACTATCTACATTACATGAAGCGAGGTGCGAAGGAACACGGTCAGACACAGTCAGACAGCGCAGGAGTTGATTTTATGGTTCTTCTCTCATGATGTCATGAATGTCTTCATGTTGTGAAATATGAGTCGCCCAAGGGGCTGGGTCAAGAACTAACCACCTGTCATACCATGAGGCAATCTCAACGCCATAGCATCGAGCTAGTAATCTCAGAATGGTTAGCTCCAGACATGGTACCTTTGAACACGCCCACATGGCTATGGGTCAAAACCGGGCAATTTTGGTTGACCCATGAAAAAGAATGAACAGAATGGACTGCGAGGGAAATCAATCTAGCAGGGTTTGGGGCTACAGGTCTTGACCTATACCCACATGTCGGGAACACTGGTCCGGTGCGACGCACGGCCGGGCAAAACGTGCCATGGCTGGCTCTTCAGTCTCACGATTGAAGTAGTACGGCCGCCCAGCCTGTGGCGAGCAGGATGGAAAGCTGTCGGTTCGCCTGGAAGCTGAAGCATTCCTCAAGTCTCCACAAAGGGTGAGCCATAATCCGTGCAAGATCGATCAAACCAAAGTAGCACGATGCAAAAGCATGTTCAGCAAGCAGTTTTTAAAGGTGTGCCCTTTGCCGACCGCAACGCGGTGCACTCAACGGCACCGCACAACTGCGAGACTTTGGGGGACCTCTCCTTGGTGTAGATGACAATCCAATCCTGGCGAGGCCCAGTCTCTAGTCGCAGTCTTCAATACTACGACTACTCCTGCTGCTGCTGCTGCTGCTCCTACTACTACTACTACTCCTACTACTACTCCTACTACTGCTCCTACTACTGCTCCTACTACTACTCCTACTACTCCTCCTACTACTACTACTCCTACTCCTACTACTACTACTACTACTACTACTACTCCTGCTACTGCTACTGCGACTGCTACTGCTGCTACTGCTACTGCTGCTACTGCTACTGCTACTGCTACTATTACTGCTACTACCAACCCCTGGGATTATCCATCTTATGTTTGTTGCTTGAGAGGACCTGTGGCTCTTTGTGAACTTCATGTAATCTTAGCTGCATCTCATGTGGCCTTGGCTATGGCTACCGGAGACCCAGGCGTCACTTCTGGGTCCTTTCCGAGGCCGTACATCTCCATCTTGGGTGCATCCTCGTCCTGGCACAGCGGCCATGTCGAACCACTGCGTCGAACAGCGTCGAACGACGGCCACATCTCCAAAAGCGCCGGGAGCACTGGCATCGACGGCTGCATCAAGGCAGGCTTCTTCAGCATCTGGCGATGCAGAAGACACAGTAGAAGTCGGAAAACCATCGCGTTGACTGAGGCATTCAACATGGCAGGGTATCTGTATTTCGCTTGGACTGTGCCCGAATTCTTCCCAGCTGCAACATCCGCACATCCCACATCCTCCCACAGCCTTCCCAGACATTGGCATCTGTGGATTCGTTGGGGAGTTGTATCGAGCCTGGAGTCCTGGCAGGTGTTCCCACAAAAAGTCGCCTTGACAAACTGGATGGGACAAAGAAACGTGAATGACTACAAATGACTTGAAAGAGCTCTAACTTGGCTTCAGGGGCATGTCGCCAGGGTTCTAATGTTATGACTTTATGACCTTAGCTTATCTCAACAAATGTTGCTGCCGTCCCTGCCACAAAAAACAATGCGATTGCCAAGCCCACCAGTCCCCCGGACCCTCCGGAGGTCGGGTGAAGACAACACCGTGCTGCTCCATGCAGTTTCCCAACGTCGACACCCGCTTCGTTGAAAAGAAACGCTCCTCCACGCTGAGTGCCACGTGTGGCATCTATCCGCCGAAACACCGTGGCCTGAGCAGTGCGGGTTTGGGTTTGCAACATGGTGGTTCCGTGAAGGATGTGACCCGGACGAACACATGGTGGCACCCTGGAACCGTCCACCGACATCTACATAAACCCTTGGCTATTCCAACTTACACGGAAAGCTGAGCATGCTGGAGCTGGTGCCAAATGAGGTTCTGCCCCAAGGAAGTGACTTTAAATTGAGCTGGGGACTGCTTGAGCTGCCGTTTCCACATGTTCTCTTGCAAGAAGCGGCTTGTCAAGAAGACTCCCGCAACCAAACTCTTATGGTCCGGCAGCCTGCAGACATCTCGCCCTCCGCAGCATCGCCTGAGGAACTCGCAGGAACTCGCAGGAATCAAGAGATCGGTAGATTCTGGTAGATCCCAAGAGGTGTGATTTTGCAGGTGAACTTCAAGTGTGTGTACCTTCACTTGAATGCCACCAACTAGAAAAGAACCCAAGAAACAGGCTGTCGCTTTGGAACTGAAATCTAGTATGCAGTCTTCTGCACAACGAACACGACAAGCTCTCCTTTCTTTTACGTTTGCTATCTTCAAATAGTCTTGGGTCCGAATCTTCTTTCTTCTCAAACCTTTCAACAAAGCTGTCAGGTGTCGCAATCCCCGTGCACCAACCACCTAAAGAACCCAACCAAAACAACCGCAAAGGTGCAGCCAGGAAGAGGGAAACCCTCCATCCATCCAGCCACTTGGTCCAGGTAAGTCCTCCTTCTTTCGACGAAATGGTGGAGATTCTTCACTGGATCCCTCGTCACCCCCAAACCCGTCGGCCTGGAAGGTGAGATCGTCGCGGAGGCGCAGCGGAGGCGCAGCGGACCGTGGTTTCGGTGGTTGGTTTGGGTCCTTGTGGCGTTCCCGTGTTTCGTTGGTTGGGGTTTCAAAACCTCCCTCCCTCTTCGGACGCGTATCGAAGAGATGAAAGTGTGCGGTCGAATTGCCTGTTGTGCAGCATGCGGAAGAAATCCGGTTGTTCAACACTGTTCAGAAACTCACGACGCTGAATTGGTACTCTGGTTCTTGAAGGTGTCGCTGGAAAGAACTGAAAATCCAAAACATGAAGTTAGGTGCAAATCGCAAGCAACAAAGCAGCATGCTCCATGTGTTTCCCTAGTCGCAGCCTAAAGCAGCTGAGGCCAAAACAGCTGAGGACGGATGCAAATGCTTTGGCTTTTTCGGGAGGACCCTAAAAGATTGCATGCGGTTCATGAGAAATCTGTCCAAATAGATGCAATGAACATTGATCATGGTACCATGATCCTCCCCAAGGCGGTGATCCTTCAAAGTTAAGTGCCGGATTCAGTCGACTGGTGTCGCTGATGTTTGACGAGATTCAGTTGAAATCACAGGGACTGGGAAGTCATCAATCACAACAGGGACCTCGTCTTTGTTCTTCCTGCACATGCAACTTGATTCACAACCACTCACTGAAGTGTACCTTGCACTCAGAAGAGCAGTTGCTTCCCCAAAATCTGTGAAACTGCCGCTGGTCGTTCGCAGCGATCAGAAATCATCATCAGGATCAAAATCCTCCTCAATGCCTGCCAATCAGTGTTTGGGGTCACAGATTCACCATGGTCTTGCCATGTGGCTGCCTGTCCTCAACTAGTTTACACCCATCAATGATAATTTGACCGACGGCGATCAGTGTGCCGATTAGTTGACATTTATGACCAGAAAACTTTAAAAGCTGGCCCATTGGAATGTTGAAACGCCCATGAATAGACCCACATCCCCTCGCAAGAGCCTTCCCATTCCTTCAACTTCCAGGCCAGCTGCCCCTCAGATCACGAAACCGGTGAAAATGGCAATGATATGACCGGTCCCAAAAAAGAAGCCCGCAAAGCCAGGTACAAAGCCTCTAGCACGTCGTCGTATCTAGTTCCAGGGTCACATGTGTGACCTAGTTATTGCAAAAAACAGGCGTGATCATTGAGTCTCCGCCCAGCGCTTCATCCACTGAAATGCACAACAAACAGCCGTGGTTCCGGACGGTGGCAAATTCATCTCCACCTCAAGGTGGCAGCTCGCAGACACTGGGAGATGAGAGAGACTTGGGACATGAGAGAAGTTGCCTCAACAGAAGAGCTTCATTCTAGACCCAGCTAAGGGCTCTCTCCGCTCCCATCCCTTGCTGAGACTGAGGGAGTCTGTGTCGCCCCCAGAAACCGCCTCTACAGTTCATACAACCAGTAGAAACCTGCTGGTCCGCCGTCGCCCAAAACCAGTCACTATAGACCTTGCTTCCGTTTGATCCACAGGACACGACTGGTGAAACACTGAGCGCTGTTCACTTCGAAAGCCTCTGGGGCCCCGCACCCAGTCCTTCAAAGCCCACTTGCCGCCCTGGCGCAGGCCCGGCACGGCCAACGAATGTGTATGGGTCCGACTGTGTCCGGTTCGCGTGTGTGGCACGTGGTGATGTCATGGAAGATTGGACCAGGAGTTTGTCCATAAACTCTTTTGGTTTACTTGAGTTCCAAGTTCCAAGCCTCACTTCCCCTCTGTCTCCTCTCTCAATCGCTTGCTTTGCTCTCTTGAGACTCTGGAACCTGAAAACTGGAGATCCCCAATGACCCTGCCTTTGGCAACGCCATCATTGAAGACAATGACACAAGGGAGTGTCCGGACCTCAAAGTGCCAGCATTTTGACGCAGCTGGACATCCTCCAATCCTTTAAATGACCAGTCCTCCAGCCTTCGGTCGTTTGAAGAACCTTCAATCGTTAAGCCCTTGAAATGACCAAAGTTGCTCTTGGACAGTAGCTGAGGTTCCACACTGCCAGCTTTTCGACAAAGAAGGGCGCCTTCTCCGCGTTCAGCTTGACAAATCTGCCCAAACCGGTCAGCACATCACTTGTTCTCAAACTGTGCCTGTCTCTCAGTGTGTGTGTGTGTGTGTGCGCGCGTGTGGTATTCTACAGTGTGAGATACTACACCATGCTGCACATGGCTTGTGTCAAAGAAACACAGGTGATCTCTACGGAATGCATGTCCACGCCCGAGCTGAGGTCACTGGTGATCTAGGGAGGTCACAGGTCCACACCCTCCAAAGGTCAAGACCAGTTCCCAGAGCTCAACTTCAAGGGATTCGCACTCGGGAAGACTGTGGACTGTGGGCAACCAAGACCACTGACACAAGGCAGCCGAGACACCTGACTAGACTGACATTGACTGACTACCTTTGAGGGTATCATCATCCTCTTTCTTCCGAAACAACAACCAGCGGAGGACACGAGGGTCAAAAGCATCAAACACAAAGATTCCTGCGACTGCAAGAACTCAGCTTGACAGAGGTGAAATCTCTCGGCATCACAATCACAATCTCTCAAGCTTCTTACTCCTCTGAAGACACACAACTTGAAGGAAACGCCCAAGACAAATCTTCCAGGGTGTCATAGTGATCTTCTGGGTCGCACTGCTGCAGTATATGTCCCGGATAAATCCAAGGCCTTGTGCCAAAAAACTTCTTCGCACATTTGCCTCGGGCTCTGAAAAAGGTGCGTCAAAGGACACAACGAGTCTGAAAAAGAATGAACATCCCCATGTGATCACAGCCTGAAAAACATTGGCGCCAGCCATGACAGACCAAGTTGGTTTCGCCTTCAAGTCGCTGGTGTCACAAGTGTCACATCTCATCAATGCCGAGAGTCTGAGGTGCATGTCCATGATCTTGCATTTCCTTGGTCTCACCCCGAGCTTAAAAGTTGGAAGTAGATTCTACCATTTAAAGAAAGAACAGCGTCGACGTGACTAAACGAGTCCACTCCTAAGTATGCATGGTTTCTTCCAAGCGTTTCTGCTGCCAGCTGCTTCCTCTGCCCAGAACTCTGACGGAAACGTCAAAACCGACATCGATGAAGCCACTCAGTTGAGGCCGGCACTCGAAATGTCTATGATAGAAATGCACCACGCACAGCTGCGAAGATGTGACGACCTGGACTTCGCAAGACCAAACGGGCAACTGTTGAGCTCCGGTCTGCATTCGGCCAAGAACATGTTGGGCACCGAACTTCACCGCGCAAAGTATGTGAGACGAAGTGGGCACAGTCGTTCGCGGTGTGTCTCTCGCGTCTCGTGTTAACGAGGCGTTCGTTCCATCGCCTTCAGGAACTCCTCTTCGGCGATTTCATCGTAGGAACCATGACCTTTGGGATCGAGCTTGCCTTTCCCGAATTCATAGAAAAATCAACCAAATACCCTACCAATTATTCTGAGGACATTTTCTCTGAACATGTGTTTTCGAAAGTCCCTCTGCCAACCAGTTATTGGCAAAAAGGCAGTCAGTATTGTGTTTTCGCTTATGACAGGCGCATTGACCCCCACAAAGGACTTTGAATTGTAATTGGCAAACCTGTCAGGGCTGAAATGCAGGCCTCTAACTAGCCACCCAAATACTCGAGTATATCACTTGAAGTACTTCAAAAAGGGTATAGTCAGAGTCAGAGTGACAGCTCTACTTGAAGACCCAATGCTTTTGTGAGGACTTTTGAAGGCTGAAAGCTCAGGCAACACCGCATGGCTGATGTTGGGGTCTGGAACAATCCTGGACAGTGAAAAGCAGCCAAGAGGCCTAGAGCTGCATTCTTCTGCTTCTTCTCCTCGAGCAAGACAGGAGAATAGGATATGGATCAAAAGACTCTTTAACCCGTTGGTGGACACTGCGAATTGTCTGGGGTACTGGTTGCCCTTTTGAGACTCTAGAAATTGATCGTGTCATCCCCACAGCTCGCCAGCGAAAGACAGAATTGCCTGGCTTGAATTCGGCACGTCGTTCCGTTCCGCCCCATCAGGACGGTTCGCACCTCCAGCCGACAGCTCGTACCCGCACCGATCCCCGGAACCGTTCGAACACCCTGCCCAGCCTGCATCTCCTGGCTTTCGCATGTCCGGTGAAAATTGCGTAGAAAAGTTGAGGCTCCGAGTTTTGGGTGATTGAAACAAATGTATAATTTGAACAACTCAGACTCTCAGCTGTTGTCATGGCAAACACACCTACACCGTAACTCTGCGATGGAGTTGAAAAAGGTTCTGTGGTTAGGAGCCTGCCAAAATACAGGGTGGAAAATCACTGTCCGAATCTCAGCCACTTCAGCCAGAGCTGAAGCAGCTGGCTAGGCCAGCCATTGCCTTCAAAAATTGGCCAAACCAGGCCCAACTGACCCATGTCACAACCTCTCACAGCTCCCAAATAGTCCCAAATCCCACCTGGACGCCGTCTCCCCCGGGCGCCTTCATTTGCTTCCGCCGCCGTGCTCGCAGCGCTTCGAGGTCGTCGTCCACGTCTGCACCGTGGCCGTCCCGCTCCTGCGAGCGCCGCAGCAAACGTTCGTAGCGTCCGATCGGTCCGTTCGAGTCGCGATGCCCTTGACGTTCAAAGTGTCTTGTTACTAGTAGCGATGGCCTCCACCCAGAAGCTTCTTGCAACATATAACTAAATCTATGCTGAAGACAGGTGATTTCTGCATCTTGAACACCTTGCGCACCTTGTATTGTCAAGAAGAATAGACGTGGCACCATGAAGTTGAGATTAAGAAGACGTAGCCGTATTCGCACAGCTTGCGTGTCTTGGGTGGTGCAAGTTCTCTTCTATTGATCTCTCTATCCCAAATGATGCGCCTCATCATCTTTTGCCTGGATCTCTCCGTTCGCATCAGCCTGAACTAGCAGTTTTTTATTTCAGAAAGTACAGATAAGTACAGTAATTTGAAATGCCCTAGCTTGCCATTGGTTCTTGTTCCAATTCCTTGATTTTCAAATAGTACATACGTTGATACAGAAGTCGATACCAATTCGTCAAGCTTAAGCGCCTTGTATCCATTGTTGTAGCCGCCATTCCAACCTTCAAAACGATTCGCTTAGACCAATATTACTCAAAAATCGATTTCTTGGCTGGCCCGACTTTCACCCCAAGAGCAATCTGCTTCATCAATGAATTTTTGTCGGCATTGACATCGCTATTTGTTCGGCCACACTCCTTTCCAGTAAGCCGGGCCACAGAGACCAGCCACGGAGGTCCGGGGCGCGGCCAAGACAAGGACAAGAGGAGGACAAGA